CCCAGGTGTGTGGTCTTCACAGTCACAGGCCTCACCCAGGTGTGTGAACCTCACAGTCACAGGCCTCTCCCAAGTGTGTAAACCTCACGGCCACAGGCCTCTCCCAGGTGTGTGAACCTTACAGTCACAGGCCTCTCTCGGGTGTGTAAACCTCACAGCCACAGGCCTCTCCCCAGTGTGTGAACCTCATAGTCACAGGCCTCTCTCAGGTGTGTCAACCTCACAGTCACAGGTCTGTCCCAGGTGTGTATGTGAACCCCACCATAGGCCTTTCCTAGGCCAAGGCTTGATCACAGGATGGACTCCATACTTCAGTGTGTGGATCCCAGCAACTTCTTTGAGCACTTGGGTGCTCAGGCCATCCTGCAACCATCTGACATTGAAGCAGAAGATAGAGACAGGAAGTGAGCACCTTGCTCATTAGAAATCAGTCTTATGTCCAGGTTAATGTCATCAGATGGCAAAGCATACATAGCACAAGACCTGTCTTTGGTCAGGGAGCCAGGGACTCCACCTACTCAAATAGAAAGGGAAGACACTTGTTTGTTAGCTTGACATGGATGGTTTTTCTACCAGGCTCATTTGGTCTGGAGCCAAGCATCAAGAACTATCTAGATGCTGCTAAAGTTAAATAAAATTGGAAACTGACAAAATAATAATTTTATTACACACAAAGTTTTATCTAGCCCAGTGTCTATTTATATCTCTTCAGATTCCCTCTCTCTCTCTCTCTCTCTCTCTCTCTCCCTCTCTCTCTCTCTCTCTCTCTCTCTCTCTCTCTCTCTCTCCCTCCCTCCCTCCCTCCCTCCCTCTCTCTCCCCCTCCCTCGCCCCTTCCTCCCCCACCCCGTCTCTCTTTCTCTCTCTCTCTCTCTCTCTCTCTCGGGACTAATTAATAATTCAGGCTACTATGGCATGTTCTGATGGCTGCAAATATAGCAATTTAATTGATATTTCTTTCTACATAAAAATGATACCTCATTTCCCGAGGGCCATTTTCCACAGCTGTGCCAAGCTTCTCACAATGACACAGACCCACCCTGAGCACACCTGAAGCCCATTTGTTAAAGAAGAAACCATGGTAATGACGGATTTGTAACAGACACAATGGCAAGCCGTGTGTTTTAAACACTGACATTTATTTGAGGGGTTTTGAGAATTCATACATTATTAGGATAAACTCTAATTTATATCAGTATGTAATATATAATACAATAAATTGCATTTGTACACATAAATACAAAAGTTGAGGTAGGGCCTCAAGAGTAATGACTTCTTAAATGAATAATGCACAGTATATAATAAGCACTCTATACGATAGATAGATATATATGATGCATCATTTTGTAACATAATATATTTTCTTCATGTAAAGTCAATGGAAAAATATAAGGACCTGACTAGGAAACATCTTTATTCATGAACAATATTGTTCACATGAGATGCTTGCATTTAGGACATTATCCAAGTACACAATTTAAGAATCAACCTCCTATTCCTGGATAGGTCCATAATAAAGTGCAAAAGAACAGGGACAAATGAGAGACACAGCAGTTTCCCAGTTGCTATCTAAACAGCATCCCAATGATCGAACACACCTATAAGGCAGCTGGTCACCTGGAAGTGTCATCCTCAGAAGCTAATCAAGCCTGGGCTTGCTTCTCAGGGGTGATGAACACCCGTCTGAAATCCTTTCTCTGCAGGCAGTTTACAGCAGCCTGTGCTAAGACCATATTTCACCATGGTCCTTCTAGTCAAGCACAGCTAAATGAAAGACAAGAAGTCTTGCTCCCAAACCTCAGGCCAGCTCTGCATCACACATCATGAAACAGAGGAGACTGGCTCGCTGGCCTTAGCCTCTATGCCTTGCATGTCAATGTATCATATAGAACACACTCACTCATGTCAGAGCCTTGCAGAAGCAAGTCACAGGCCCAAATCCAATACCACGGGCAGAATGACCTTGCCATTGCACATCCGTCCAGCAGCAGTTACTATGCCAGCCCCTGGGAAGAGGACAATGACTACGGCCAAGGAGACAAAGACGAAATGTCAATTTAAGGCATGGGAAGCCCATGCTGACAGAAAGGAACTGAGAAGCTCTGAGGCTCACATAGATAAAAGAAGAGAGACAAAACCCTGACCCCCTCAGTGCTGTTCCAGCGTAGACACAATCCGAGTCTCATCAAACCGAAGGCCCTTCCGTTCCACTCTTTCTAAAGTGCCATTCCCTGAAGTACATGTCAATTGCAGCTCTCACACACATTAAAATCACATCAAAAATGTCCAAAGCTGTCAATGGTCATTAGGATTTTGCGTTGACCACAGATATCATGCAGTAAAGAAGTAGACAGGGGCAGATAAAACAACAACCAGGAAAGACCAGAACTGAACCCACTTGCTCACAAAAAAAGAAAAAAAAAATACAGCCTGAAGGAGATTAGAAGAAGTTCCTAGTAGGCAAGACAGTTAGACAAAGGTTTGCATAAGAAACCACAACACGAATAGTTAATAAATATATGGTGCTTTTCTGTTTTAAGGATATTACGGGGTTACTATTTTTCACATATGGCTTGTTTTTCTCTGAATGGGTTTATTAAAGTGGTATTATGAAATCATCTCACAGATGGAAAACTCCCCACCAGTCTGCATAGGAAACCCAAGTCTTTGCTAAGTAACCTTGCTTCTCCTTCATGGTCAGGGGAGAACTCTCAAGTGGCAGTTATAACAGCGCTTTCATTGTCCGTGAATTCCTTCCTCTTTTTTCTTCCAATTGATTGTGCATTTTAGCAGCGTGAAAGCAATCCATCTTGTAGGATACATATCAGTTCTCAGTATCCCAACCAAATCCTCAGGAGGCACACCGCTGAGGTACACTATGAACAGAGACTACTCAGACACCACGGCTCGACACCACGGCTCCCGGCCAAGGAGAGCCTTGAAGTTGAACGTAGCAATGAATGGCCAAAACTAACTTCAAAGCCAGTGGTTTCCAGGCAAGCCCAGAACCTTTTGTCTGACTCTGTCCTTATAAGCAGTCTAACTAGGGAAAGAGAAACAAAGCAACAACAACAACAAAATGGGCACGTACTCAGGGGCAGCTTCTAGGTCTTTCCAAAACATATCCTACTCGATGCAGCTGTAGCTCCCCCAGTTACAACCACACTAACAGATGAGGTCATCATTCTGACAGGTTGACTCTCAGTTCACATCTGGCAGTGTTCAGAGCCTCCCCACATCCTTCTTTTAATCACAGAGGCAGAAAGGAGCAGAAATTGGGTTGGCATCCAGCACCAATCCCAGTTCCAGCCCATAGGAAAACAGGAAGCCTGAAGCCATTCATCCCAATACAAGCACAAATCCCACGTGTGCCAAGGATGAGCTTTGTGCTTTTCTTCAACCTGCAAAATGGCAGGGCTGCAGGGAGTTTCCCTACTCTCACACACCACCCAAGTCAGGGCACTGTCTGGGATGCTGGTGCAGGAGTGGGGCTTCTCATCAGTATGGCTTTCTTGGGGAAACAGATACAGCAGATAGTAGACAGCTGAGTCCATAGCTCATCTGCCTAAACCAGGGAAGCCTGAGGTTCCATCTCTGCAACAACCTACTAAGACCTACCTTGTGGGAACTAGGAGAAAAGAGAAAAGAGAAGAGGGAGAGAAAACCCTGCTAGCAAAGACACCACCAGACCCAGTAGTTCAAAACCCATCATGTTCCCTTCCCTAAAACCTATCATGGCTACTCTGGGAAACACATGTACCCATCACCGTTGACAGGTGGTGTGAGCACTTGCCCTAGGAAAGGAGAGTTCAATCCAATGACTTCAGACACTTTACACAGACAGAGTCATATTTTTTAAATGATACATTAAAAGTCTGTTGTTGAGGTCCCATTGCCACTGCACAGGATGAATATGTCACGTCAATATACAAGATTTGAACTGAAAACTTTGCCTGAGACCCTGTTATATGAAGATAAACTAATAAGAAAATGATTGAACCCATCTCCCCCAGAGGAAATGATTTTAGGTTATGATATTAATACTGTAAGAGGGAGAAATAAAAAGCCCGAACTATGCTACTCTAAACTTGCCATCTCTGTGGTGATTCATAAGATATTTATGAGGACAGAAAACACCACTAGCACTATGTGTACACAGAACTGCATGTGCCTGCTCAGGACACAGTGGATTAAAGGGTATAGCCTAGCCGGGCTCGGCAGACAGGTGGCCTGCTCTCACTAGAGGGCAGTTACATTGAGCAGTTTGAACAGGGAGTTCTGGACATTGAACTAGCTAAATGCAGTCTTAAAAGCTATAGTCTTAATCAGCTTACTCACTACCTAACTAAGCTGAAAATTTATTTATCAGAAAGTTCTGGAAATACAGTGACCTAAGATGTACAACCACAGGGATGAGGAGTCCTATGGTTGCTTTTTACCAACTTCCTAATTTCTCTGATTTTCCCTATGGCCACAATTGGCATTTACTGTTACTGAAAAAGAGGTTAAAAATTGAGAAAGTGTCTTTTAAGAGTTTATGCCCTGTGTGTGTATATAATGTATAGACAGAATTGGGGTAAGTCTCATTTTTCAATAGGTTGGAAGACAAGGTTATCTACAGCTTATAGAAAGTGACTTGGAGGCAAAGAGACAGCATATCATGATACTGATCCATGGTGCAAAAGACATCATGGCAGATACAACAGCGGTACAAAAGCGGACATGCAAATCAAAGCATGGCTTCTTGTGCAGAGAGTGAAAGAAAAGACCCAGAGAATTAACTCTCAAGTGTTGTTGTTACAGAAGGAGGAGGAGGAGAAAGAGAGAGAAGGAGAAGAGGAAGAGGGGGAAGAGGAGGAAGAAGGGGAGGGGAGGAGGCAGAAGAAAGGAAGTAAGAGAGAAAGAGAACGAAGGAAAGAAGAAAGGAAAGAAAGACTGTGGCGAGAGAATGGACAATCCCTTCAGATCCACAGCGTAGAGAGGTGAAGCATCTGAATGCATGGTCTATTTGGTCAAAATAAAGGAAATGGATACACAAATCAAACCACCCAGTGGTGCCCAAGTCTACCTACCAGCCATGTCTGCATCCAGAATTATCTCCAGTGCTGCCTCCCCCTAAACGCACCTGACCTGAACTTTCAGCTTCTGAATGAGATCACTGTGTTGTCCAGCTCAGCTGGATGATGATAATGAGTCCAAGCAACAGTCCTGAAAGTCTGCGTTCTCCCCATGCCCTACTCCTTCCAGCAATGAGAACACACAACACAATTTCTCTACTGCCAAACCATTTACCTGCCAGCATTTACCTGGTCAATGGACCCCTGCAGGATGAAGGAAGAAACCTGATCAGGAGACCAATCCTTCCAGAAACTGATAGCACAGACACAGACAGACAGACAGTGCCATCAGTGGCCTGTGTGGCTCTCACTACAGCATGCTACACTATGTCCTACTTTTCTATGGAACACTCTCATGCACAGCTGTGAACCGCAGTGTGAGGAGAAAGAAGAAAATTGGGGATAAATCTGGGGAAAGTGTGAAGGAGAGGCAGAGAGGAAGCCCAGGAGTGATACCGGACCATCCACACTACTGGACTAGCACTGGGTGCCCAGTTCCAAATCCTTCACGGGCAGCTTGAGTCCCAGGGATGAGGTTCCCAAGGGGTCGATCATATTCTTGTAACGTTCCCCACGGTGCTGAGCTAAGAATGGGCCCCAGTCGGGCTGTGGTGAGCATACCAACTTCAGCCTCTGCAAAGAAGGCAAAGATATGTATAGTTACAATATGAATTCACCTTCCTCCTCTTGGCACCCCTAGCCATGTCTCAAAGGTATCATTGCTCCAGCTCCCTCACTGGAGCCAAGAGCGCCTCCCCCAACCCCTCGAAATGAGGGAGACTAGCCTGCATTTGTTAACCAGGACAAGGGCAGGAAAAGTAAGACTCGGTTTGGTTCTCTTGAAATCATCACCCTGAAAGCAACCTGATGATTGTTCCATGTTTGCCAGGCATCCGCTGAGTAGAGGACAAAGGGCCCAGAGCTTTATTATACATCTCCACCCAGCGAGTGAAGAAAACTCACAAGCTTCTACTTCTGCTCCCAAACAGCAAAACACATGGGCTCAATTACATTTGTTCTGTAGTCTCAGTGATGGGTTGCTACCTCAAAAATAATTGGATTTTGTTTAGCATATTTCCCAAAAGCATATAAATGGCCAAACCCAAAGATACACCACTAAGCATGAACAAAGATTTTAATTGTCTGTTGACAATATATATAATATATACATGTATATAAATATGCGTATATATGTATGTTTCTGACTCAGGCAGTGCGGGTTCACGTAGGTAAGCTTAAAAATAATGGAGGTGTCTCTAGTACCAACTAAAATTATTATTGAGAATAAAATCTGATAGAAATATATAGAAAAAAGAAAACTTATTTCTGACTATATAAGAGGGAATAATTATGTTTATTACCTATTAAGGGGAAATCTTGTTCTTATAGCTGTTAGTTTAATGCCCCCCTTAATCACCAGCTTGCAACCTTTGTGTCCCAAATTAACCATAATAAATTAATACGGCCAACCCATCAGTCTACAGGATTTTAGGCTGCAACAGCAGCAGAGGTTACAGCAGGTTTAGGGATTCCTGTGACCTCTGGTGGGAAGGAGGAGGCTATGAGGGGTGGCCCGCTGGAGGTAGGCTGGGCCAGAGATGCTTACACCAGAGGATAATGAACAGAATTCTCTGGGGATGCAAACCAGAATACAACTTCAACATGAAGACTCACCGTCATGTGGAGGTCAGTGGAAATGAAGGCTATCAGCTGACCCACACCAAGTGAACTCTTGTGTTGTGTGCTGGCCATGCCTTCACCCCCTGCCCTGTTTCTCCCACCAGCCTCTTCTTCATACTAATCTAGCTGCCCAAGAGCAGACCCCACCCATCCATTCTCCACCTCAGTGAACAAGTATTTCTTTGCATTGGTCTCAATGCCTCCCAAACCTGGGCATTCACCCAAATCACTAGAAGATGAGGCCAGACTCCATTTCCCTGAGCTCCGTGCAGTTGAGAGAACCTGGCTGTCTGCATTTGTGACAAACTCTTAGGACGCCTCTAGATCAGACCCCAGGTCGCACCCAGGTTCAAGTGCCTTCAGGATGCAGACAGAGGTCATTCATTCTCAGCTCACCTAAACAAACGCTCGCCCCCCCCCCCCACTTTGAGACAGGATCTCATATAGCCTAGACTAGCCTAAAGTTCACCACAAAACTAAGGATGGCCTTGAACTCCTGATCCTCCTACTTCTACTTCCCAAGTGCTAGAATTACAGGTGTGCTTGAGCAAGTGACTTCCCACAAGTAACAAAAGCTGGGTGGTTCTTCAGTGGTGGCTGAAACAAATAGCAGTTCCATTCTCTCTATGGAAAAGTCCCCTTCAGGACAAGAGTAAAATGGGCACTGATCAAGATTGGTATGCTAGAGAGCTTAGCCAGCTACAGTCATCTAGAAAGAGGCAATGGCAACTGAGGAATTGCCTCCTTCAGATGAGCCTGGAGGCAAGTCTGTGTGGCATTATCTTGATTAATGATTAATGTGGGCGGGCCCAGCCCACAGTGACAGTGCCACCTCTGGGCAGATGGTCCCAAGTTACATAAGAAAACAAACTGAGCAAGCCAGGAAAAACAAGCCAGTAAGCAGCACTCCTCCACGGCCTCTTCTTCAGTTCCTATCTCTAGGTTCCAGCCCTGAGCTCTTACCCTAACTTCCTTCCCTCAGTGAAGATTGTGACCCGGCAAGATTGAAATGAAATAAGCCTTTTCCTCCCTAAACTGCTTTTGGTCATGATTTTATTGCAGCAACAGAAAACTATGACAGCTGGTAAGGAAAAGCAAGTCTCTCACCCTAGTCATGTCCTGGAATGCATAGCCCACCCTGAGAGTCGTCAAATGTGGTGACTTTAAGTTTAATGCCAGTAAATATTTGGGAGGAGGAGGCTCGGAGGCAGAGGGGCACCAGGAGAGGGGAACCAAGATGTAAACACCGACTGAGGAGGAGGATGGGAGGTCTAGGAAAGAGAAGACATTCGCATCGTCCACCCCAGGGCTGCCAGCACTGTGAGGAATAGCACAGTAGTAGCTCACTCAGCCTGATGATTGGCTGGGCTCCTCCACTACAGGAATAATACATAATAAAAATGAGTTTAATAGAATCAGTGGCAACTGTGATGGCTTACCCACCCAGTATCCTTCTTGAATATGTTTACCAGATCTTTTGTTTTTAATGCATAGAGCTTTTAGGATCTCTCCCTCGGGAGAGGCTACCAGAGGGAAAGGAGCCAGTAGAATTACCTCAATAAATCTCCCAGGAGCCAGATACATTTTTATCACGAACATAATCGGAATCCAGATAACAGAGCAGGCGAGCATCAGCCATCCAAGCACCATGGACCAGTTAGGGTAGCGGTAAGAGCCGTAGGTCATGGGCTCCCACTGGTAGAAGCTGAAGCAAAGAATAAACTGAGAGAGAAAAGAAAGGTGCGTTAGGGTGATGGTGCGAGTCATTCATTCATTCAACACATATGTGCTGAACGCCATGCTTCATTTCTATTGCCTTAGCTTACGTAGACTCTTGTCTATCTGAAAGAGGGTTCCAAGCGAAGGAAGTACATTCTCAAGATGATTGAAGGTGGAAACATTCACTCAGCTGTTGCTCCTGTGTTTGTCCCCCCACGGGAAATCAATGAGGTGTGGGCATGTGCCTACACCCACGGAGGCCACGCTAGGAGAACACAGCACAGTACCCAACAGGGCCAGGTGTCAGCCGGGAATTCTGAAGAGACAGTCTGCACTAACATTGACAATTAAGCCTTTGCTATAATGGGGAAACGAAGTGTTCAATGTATAGATCTCAGTCCTTTTAATTGAATCCATTTGGCTTTCTTCTTGAACAAGGAATGGCCAACGTGTAGGAGCCACCTCTAAAGTAGCCTGTGTGAGACTCAGAATGGTCCCTGGTCCCCACAGGTGACTGATCTAGAAGCACAGTCCTATAATAAGCCATGGCAGAGAGAGAGGGGGCTGGGGGGTAGCGCAACCCCCTCCACTGACTCAAAGTGACCAGTGTCATCACCAGTGAGCCTACAGCTCTACAGCTAATGAGCTGCAGGGCTTCTCAGATTTCTGAGCTACAAAATGGATTTATTTCACACTGTGCATGTAGTACTGGGATTCTCTGGGAACAGGAGTCAGTATTTATTCCAGAGAACTTCCTCATTCTTAAAAGGTCATGATTTGGGTTTTGCCCATTATCGGTGATCACATCATATTTCAAAAGCAAGATCTCTGAGATCTGTCCAAGCAGCTGCAGAGGGCCAAGGGAAGGCACTAGCTGAAGTCAGAGGCACCTATGTACAGAGCCAGGCTTCTGACAGCTCCAGCCCAGCCTGTAGAGACCATTTCTCAAGACAACATGACTCTGTGTGTTCTTCTTGCCTGTGGCAGCATAAGCCTAGAATTATCTACATAAGTCCTTTCCCCAGCTCTATATCTCTCTTCCTACCGTAAGCTGTAGAGTAACAAAATAATCGGAAGGAATTACATTCGGGGAAATAGCAGAAGGGAGCGTTTTGGAGAACTAGGAAGCCCTAGACAAACACAAAACATCCGCACCGGTTTTGCAGCACCCAGGCTGCCAGGAGCAGGGACTTTGCTTCGGTGCAATTTATATGTTGATTCAAAGCAATGTAAGCCTGAAGACAAGGCTCCTGTCAACGTTAGCCCCCCTTTCCAACTTTTGCCCCTGGAGTCATAAGCTTTATTAGCCAGTCTATTGGAAGTATGGCCCGATGTCATTACGGCAGGCTGCTCTGTTTCATTTACTATATAAATAGCAATGCATCTGCTTATGTGTGTGCCTGCAGTAACGTGATCAGACTATGCATATGATAATTGCATAAGGATATTTATGGCTCCATAAATCCATGACGGCACGTAGAAAAATGATGGATTTTATTTCAGAGCCCCTGAAGTAATTTAAACCCATAATCTTACCCTGGTCCAGGACCTGGAAGATATCTATGCTACAGAGGCAAATGGTAAAATATAGGCAGGGCTGAGACCTTTGACACCCATTTCCGCTTCCACAAATATCACATCAAATGTTTAGGCACAAGCCAGTTGCTGCCATGAATCTCTCTCTGCCAAGTCAGTTTTGATGAGAGCCTGCCCTGGGGTAGGCTTTGCCACTGAGTCATGCCCACCTCTGCCTTTCACAGCAACCGAATCAGACACAGGAGACACACTGGTTGGTGGTAATGATGGATCTAATGACATCCCTAGCTCCAAACAGCACAGAGAATCTGCTCAAGATAATCCCAGGGTGAATCCACAACTTCTGACATGGACCCTACCCAGCCACAGCAAAACTGAGGAACTTCCCCAAGAATGAAAGAAAAAATAACAAGTTCCAGGAATCCCTTCTCCCTGAGTCTGAAGACTTGACTTCTAACCCAAACTGGCCATGCTGTACCTAGGTTGTCAGGACACAGAGGACAAGCTTGAAGCCCATCCCAGCTCACAGACAATGTTTTAGCTCTGTGGCCTTGTGTGGCCTAGAGCAAGTCCCTTACCCTCTCTGAGCCTCAATGCACACATCTGTAAAGTGGGGAGATGGCATGGGTGTAAGCATCACTGATAAGGCCAATAAAGGGCCTTCCTTGATACACGCAGCAGCAGCAGGCAGATGGCCTTGTGGTGCATCTCCACAGAGCAAGGCAAAATTCTGACACTCTTCTTTTGGGATAAGAGGAAAAGGAGGGCAGAATCTAGAACATATATCTCACACTGATTGTGCTGATAATAAACCACAAGGAATGAAAACGAGGGGGACAAGGGTCAACAGGGACGGAATTTGCTAACACAGCATGTTCAGGCAACAGGTAACAACATCATCTTCACACCTATAAGCTGAGCCAGCTCCATACACACTTCATTCCTGAGCATCTGTCTTTAATACTTTTCAGCTTCCATGCCCCAACTCCAGCAGGACTTTTCAGACCACGGATATAGATGTGGGTAAGCCGTCGGTGTCCACACAGAAGACAAAGACTGTGGGATGGATTTTCTGTCTAAACCTCTAGCTTTTCAGAAAGATATGGTTTGATTAGAACATACCCTCAGACAGGGGAGGGGGGAAAGGCAAGCAAATAAAGAAAAAATACATTTTCATTGCACCTGCTTTTATTCATCCTGCATCTTAAAAGAAGCTGGTGTCTGGTGTTGAAATCGGGCTCTCTACCTGGTTCCTATTGCCACCTACTGGGCCAAATAAAAATTACAGACAACTTCCTCCAGGCTTGCTCAAAAAGGATTCCCCATGAGCCAGAGTAAGAAAAAAAGCAAGCCTCAGAGAAGGGAAAAGACAAAATCCCTGCTAATTTGCATAGGGAAGTGAAGCCACCGATAGCTTTGGGCACAAAGAGGGGGTTACATACGTGAGTTTAAGTCTCTGTACAGACTACAGGCACATGTGCAGCTCTGCTCATTAAGAAGAGGAATGTCAGATGATCTCAAAACACCTTCCCCACACTTGAAGCTGACAACATGGCTCTCAAAAGCTATAAAATCAACAGTAAACGCATGATTAAGGCTACATGAATTGTAGAGAGGGCACATTGAGAATGGTTAGGACCCAGAACATGTGGGTTCAAATCCAGACTGTTGCTATCGTACATTTAATGCTAGTTCAGTCACATAACTCCAGGCTTCAGTGTCCCTGTGATACTTAGTTTTAAATGTTCCCTTGACACAACCTAAAATCACTTGGAAAGGAGTCTCAATGAAGGATTGCCTAGATCAGATTGGCCTGTGGGCATGCCTCTGGTGTGTTGTCGTGCTTATGTTAGTTGATGTGAGAAAATACAGTCCATTGTAGGCAGCTGCATTCCCTAGGCAGAAAGATCTCATAGAGATCAGGGGCTGGAGCAATAGCTCAAAGAGTTAAGAGCACTTGCTGCTCTTATAGAGGATTGGAATTTGGTTCCCAGCTCACAGCCACCTTAATTCCAGCTCCAGGGGATCCAATGCCATCTTCTGGACTCTTCAGCTTCCCACATGCACACAGACACACATATATACATGTGTAAGGAAATAGTAGAATAAATCCTTTTCTGAAAAGTGGAAATCTAGCTGGGCACTAGCAAACACGGGTGTATTCATTTCTCTCTGCCTTTGGGTGGATGTACCCAGCTGCTTCAATCTCCTGGTGCTGTGGCTTCCCTACTGTGATGAACTACAACCTGGAACTGTAAGTGGAAATAAACCCTTTTGTCCCCTGAGATATTTTTGTTAGGTTATCTTAACACAGCAACTGAAAAGGAAATAGGATGTTCCCCTTCTGCAAGACAGAGATAATTACACCAGCCTGGTAGGACTGCGAAGAAAGAGTTCCACACACCAATCACCCAGAACAAAATCTGAACCATGGTAGATGTCTGTTCTACGTGGCTGTTGACTGCTATCTGCTAGCACAAAAGGCAGATGGATATGATGTGCGTGTTCTACACAGATGTGCTAACATCTCATGATCAATCCTAGCCCTGACTAGCCAGATGCCTGTAGGTAAGTCGATTCACCTTTCTGGCCTACAATACACTCAGCCCCGGAAGACAAGACCAATACCCATACCACCAGCTCCCCAGGTTCACGGGGAAGCACACAGGTGCTCAAAGGTAAAACACTGACGTGCAGGAGAGGCAGTGTCTGTGAGAGAAAGCATTCAGCCCTTACAGTTAAAATGGTCGGCGTGACGAACGCCCAGCAGACTTTCCAGAAAATGTTGGGCTGGAACCCAATCATCATCTCGATGTCTTCACAGAACCTTTGCAAGCCTGCAAAGAGACAGCAGGAGCCATGCATGAGGTGCAGTGGACAGAAGTGGGGGTGCCCCTCACTCAAGAACCTTGGCTAAGGAAGAACCCAACTTAGGTCAACATAACCCCTATTGTGACAGGAAACCATCAGACAGATGACTCACTGCCAGGAATACTGGGGCTAACTGAATGTTGAAACAGATACTAAACAATCTCTTCAGTGAGGTTCAAAACTATCACGGCAACACCTTCAGAGCTTAGTTCCAGGTGTCTTGGCAGTGGCATGTGCATGCCTCTTGTCTTCCTGGCCACTCTGAAATGTCACCAAAGCAAAATGTAAAGGAGACAGTTCTCCACCCATAGATCCACCCTCCTGGCAACCTCTTAGTTTAGGAGGGAGTTGGAATGCTGCTTTGGAGGAAAGGCACTGATATGAGAAGTGGAACTCCCACAGAAATGGGGGTTCAATATGCAAAGGGAACCTGATAGCTTCCTGAGTGAAAGTCTCTGCATTACAGTGATCCCCAGACTTCCTAATGCTGCAACCCTTTAATACAGTGGCCTGGGTTGTGGTGACCCCCAACCATAAAATTATTTTATTGCTACTTGATAACTGTGATTTTGCTACTATTATAAGTTGTAATGTAAATATCTTTGTTTTTTGATGGTCTTAGGCAAGTCCTGTGAAAGGCTCAATCCCCGGAAGGGGTTGCAGTCCACAGGTTGAGGACCACTGCTCTTTTGGGGATGTCTAAAAACTCATCCAGTTGTATCCAAGATGTGCTCCTCCTCATAGAGAGGGAGGCCCTGATATAACTGATGATCAAACCACAAGTCTGTATGACCATCATGGGAAACCTAGAGATTTCTCCAAAAAAATTAAAAACAGAGGCTAATGGAGAAGCAGGAAAATTAGCATAGCCCAACACTGAAGTACTTGGAGTTTATTTATTCCTTCATAGCCAGATTTGCTTAGGGTTTAGGGGAGTCGATTTAACTTCTAAAATTAGGCATATTAAAAAGTGTCTGGTTTAATTGCTTTCAAGCCTCACTGAATAGGTCTACTTTACAAGAATGTGCCTTTTGTGGCAATTAGCAGTTGAGAACCAGGTAAAAGGGCTAAGTCTGTGCTCGTGGGCCTGGCTGCAGACAAGCTACAAGTGAAGCCCCCTGCTCTTTCCAGCAACCAAACTCTCCGTGCAGTGGGGAGATGATCCTGAGTCATAAAAATTCTTCTTCAACTCCCCTCTGAAAGTAACCGCAGGGCTGGAGAGATGGCTCTGTGGCTAAGAGCACACACAGCTTTTCTAAAGAACCAGAGTCTGACCCCCCCCCCAGCACCCACACCAGGCTCACAACCACCCGTAACTCCAGCTCCAGGGGATCTACTGTCCTCTTCTGACCTCCATGAGCATAGCACGGGTGCACATATACTTAGACACACATAAACAGGATACGTGGTGTTTGTTTGTTTGTTTGTTTGTTTTGTTCTGTTCTGTTTTTCAAGCAAGGGTGTCTCTGTGAAGTCCTCTGGCTGTCCTGGAACTTTGTAGACCAGGCTGGCTACCTATCTCTGCCTCCCCAGTGCTGGGTTTAAAGGCGTGCACCACCATGCTTGGTAATTTTTTTAAAAAAGTAATGATTGTAGTCTCTTCTTATTTCTAGGGTCCCTACACTTTACATGAAAGACTTTCATTTTCTATCCTGATTTTCTGCTCTATTTTATTTCTCTTTTATTTTAATGAGATTTTCAGGAAAACCAATAACTTTTGCATACCTGTCAGTATGACACTAACAATCAAGACACTTATCCACAGGGCACACAGAAGTTGGGGAGTGTGTTGTCCTCATTTTGGAGGTCAGAGCTCTGGAGATACTTCTGGCCTCATGGTGATCTGGGGGCACCTCTATTCCAAGAAATTTATTTCACTTACTTTTCTCTTAGGACAGAATTGATATCTCTTCAGGGATTGCAATACTGTTAGATCATTGAACCCTGAATGTCTTATCCTCCTAATAGTTGCTATGTGGCCTTAGCCAGTGACCATTCTAAGACGTCTACGCAAAAAGAAGCTCGCAGTACCTGAGCCAAACTGAGCAGACTAACCAGGAGGCCTCTGGTGTGATCTCCAGGATACATACTTGTGCACAAAGGGCAGAGATGGCTGCCATCCTTTATCCTTGATAATACCTCTAATGGATGGGGTGCATGTTGCTATGGTGATGGCAGAACTAGTAAACCATTAGGGAACTGAATGTTTCTTTGCTGGGAAAATCTGGGACTTAGATACTGTATGGCAAGTTCTCCCAGGTGCTTATCAAGACTGAAAGGCTCTATGATTAAATGGCCTTTGGTACCCTGGTGCTGTGGGGAGCAGCCACCTTTCACCTCAAGCACATGGGCACTGACACCACCAACACAGAGAATAATCCCACACCAGCAAAGAAGTCCTCCTTCCTCATCTGGCCACTGGCCACAGGCATTAACTGTGCCAGCCCATACCCAAAGCCAGGTCCTATGATCTTCTTCACACACTGCTAAGATTCACAATCAGACACCTTTGGTTTCTCATTCAATTGCACCACAGTGATCCTGAGGCAAGCTCAGAAATAGAGGCATTGAAACCCTTTACATATGGGGTACATACTTGTCAGCAAGGCCTACCATACACTCTGGCTTTCCCTTGGCAACAAACAGAGTGTCCCCTTACCATACACATAGGAGATGCCAACAAGCTCAAATATGGCAATGATGACAAGGGCATAGGAGGCAGCATAGGTGTCCACAAGCTGAAACATGTAGATTCCACCCTAGCAGGAGAGAGAAATAGCCACCATCAAATAGGATGCCATGGCCAGGCTCCATCTTCCCACCTGTAATAGCCCCTCTTCTCCCTCCTGAGGACCAGCAGGTTCGGAGTCCTCCCTGTTCCACAGCAGAGACCTATACCTGGACAAAGTATGTAAACTGGAGACTTGACCAGTTTAACAGGGACATCCCTCAGTGACCTCTGATGTGATCGATAAAGCATAAAAAGCTGGCTAAATATATTTTTCCAAGGCAAAGGTCTACCTCTGAGGGAGCTGTGAGAGCAGCCTCCTGGCTTCATGTTTGCTGTGAGCTGTCAATGACCACTTCTACCCGTGTAGATGCACTTGACTGACCCTTGTGTGACCTTTAGCTATGGTTGTGAATATACTTTAGCATCACCTGAACCTCATTAAGGAATTCTCCTGACTGCCTTTATTCACGTGGGAAGACCCACTCTAAATGCAGTTGGCACCTTCTGGAAGGGCCCAGATGTAAAAGGTCACAAAAGAAGGAAGAGTGTCCACTCTATCTTAGCCTGGCCTTCCCTCAAAGCTCAGAGATAATTTATCTTGTTGCTACAGACTCCTTCGGTGATATCCAAAGCAGCCTTTCCAGGCTCCCAAGGTGAACCAAGCTCTCCAGGAGCCCTCCAGGTCTTCAGCAGCAGAGACTGCTTGAGGCACTAAGTAACTATTGGATTCTCAGCTCCTCGGGTGTGAGGCAGATTTTGGACTGCTTTAACCACCTGGCATAAGCTGATCCCTATCAGGTCTGTTTCTCTAGAGAACCCTGACTAATAAACTGGGCTTTCTTCACACATTCTGTGCTCTCTCTCTCTCCCTCTCTCTCTCTCTCTCCCTCTCCCTCTCCTTCTCCCTCTCTCTCTTCCTTGCTCTGAAATCTCCCTGCAACAGATGAGGCTTGGAGGTCATCTCATTTTTCCACCACTTTATAGATACAAGAACTAAGGCCCAGAGGAGCGGATCGTTCAAGGCCACAGAGACAGCAAGTACAGTGTATGCCCTAAGTGTCACCATGTAATTTGCCAACACACTCAATACTAGGAAAAACCTCAAGTGACATTTGTGTTTATATATAGAAATAACCATCTTGGAAATTTGACTGGGAGATAAATCTGGACATTCCTGCTTTCTTTAAGTAGGACACACCTGCCTTATTGGCTCAAGAAGACTACATCTCAATTATGAAGATACTAGGGGCCTTGCTAGGAGCCAAGATGACATATTTCCATGTGTGGTCACAATCATCATTGAGTTCGTGCCATCTATGGAAATGACAGGGATTTGGCTCTGGTTTTGAGGTCTGAGAAATGCAAATACAGGGATAGACAGCCATCACAGGTCCTCCACCTGCTCCACACCGAGCTTATGGCTGGAGGCTTTCAGCTGTGTGATGACAGACAGCCATTATACATCTCCCACCTGACCCACAATCACCTGTGCACAGTAGGTTCTTACCCAAGAGTGATCATTGGACAGTCATCATACGTCCCCCACCGCACCTGGTCATGCAAAGAGGCCTCTCACCTGAGTGATCATTGGGAAGCCCATAATGAAGAAGCAGATGCAGCAGCCCAGGGTGAACACAGGCTTATGTGTGCGCAGATACTTGGGAAACTCATCCGAGATGGAAGTCACGATGGTCTCGATGGTGGCAAACTGAAAGAGAACCAGGACAAAAGCATTTGAGTTCAACTATCCCTCTCAAAACCCCCTCCAAAGTGCTTTGTGTATGTCACTAGGGAGAGCTGTGCTTGTGTTCTGTGTGTTTTTTAGAGTGTCATTCCTTTGATGGGTCTAAATGACCTTACTGGATGCCAACACACAAAGTCAGCAGAACTCAAGCAGTGTATGAGCCCCAGAAACTCTAACCCAGACCCCTAGGGAATGCACTCCCAATCATCCATCAGGACATCTTAGCTTCGCTTTGTATTCATGAGATGTAAATTCCTCTCTTCTAGTTATCTACCATTTGATCTCCTACTTGAGGGGAAACCCACTTTGCACCCAACGACTAAACTCTGAGCACCTGTCAGCGTGATTTGTAGTAGGTTCAGCCTCAAAGCAATTTTCCTAAAATTGACTTCATATTATCATCCCTTATGCTGCCCTACAGAATTCATGTTAGCAAGAAGATGCCAGGGAGAGAAGGAGGCAGGCTAAAACTTGGCATGGAGAACAGAAAGAGGGAATGGAAGAGAGATGAGAGCCCCTTCGCACCATCACATGGTCACCAAAACTTTGAGGTTAAATTGGCTGCAGTGGTGCACTCACATAATCCTGGCACTCAGGAAGCTGAGGAAGGAGGCTAAGGAGCTCAAGGCCATCCTGAAATAAGTATTGAGATGTTTTTTTCTTAAACACACACACATGTGTGCATGCACACTCGAGCACATGCACATGCATACACACATGCACTCACATGCACACTCACAGAGTTACCGTGACTTTACACAGGTTCCTTAGCATCCAGACATTACTCAAGAGAAGCCTCAACGTAACCCATAAGCCTAAGTCACGGGATCATGGAAAGTGGAGTCTTTGAAGGGTTTGAGAGGAAGGAATGGGAGAGACAGGGACTCACCATGGTGTCAAGTCCAAGGGTGAGAAGCATCAGGAAAAAGATGATGGCCCAGAATGGAGAGAGAGGCAGCCTGGTTAAGGCCTCTGGGTAAACCACAAATGCAATGCCTGGCCCTGGAAAAATCGAGAGAGATGGTGTCAGGGAGGTCCCACTCAAAGCCCCTCTAGCCAGAGCCTTCTCTCCACTGAGATCCTGAACTATTTCACAGGTCATGGGTTTGCTCTACTGTCTGTTACTTATGCTCATCTCTGCTGATTACACCATGCTATCTCCCATGCAAATACTATGAAACTACATTCTTTTATTTGAATGCAGGAGTTATTACCCTCTGGTAGAATTGTTGATATTGAGCCCTGAGGGGTACCTGGCAGTGTCTGAAGACAGTTTTGTTTCTCACAACTGGGTTGAAGTAGGATAATTTGATGATCCATTCTTTCAACTTGACAGGATCTAAAGTCACCTAGGGAACAATCCTCTGGGCATGTCTGTGAAAGAGTCTCTATGTTGGGCTAACCAGCATGGGATAGCACCGTCCATGAGCTGGGTCCCAGGCTAAATAAGGAGAAAATGAGCTGAGCACAAGCCTGCCTCTCTCTCTCTCTCTCTCCTCTCTCTCTCTCTCTCTCTCTCTCTCTCTCTCTCTCTCTCTCTCTCTCTCTCTCTCTCTCTCTCTCTCTCTCTC